TCACTACCATACAGCAGAACGGTCCTCACTGTGGCCTTGTATACACGGCCTTTCAGACGGAGGGAAACTCCTTTCTGTCGCCAAAGATGCCGCAGGTTCAAGAAGGCAGCTCTGGCCTTTGCAATGCGTGAGCTCACGTCAGTTTCTATGCGCCCATCATTGCGGATGCAGCTGCCAAGATAAATGAAATGATCAACCACCTCGAGTTCCTCGTTAGCAAGCGTCAAGGGGTCATCAAGTGGCTGGTGGTCCTGCAGCAACACTTTGCACTTTGAAGGTGCGAAGTGCATACCAAATAATGGGACCACTCTGGACAGGCTATTCAGGGTTGATTGTGCCGCCTCAACATTGTCGAAAAGCAAGACGATATCGTCCGCATAATCTAGGTCAACTAACCTTTCACCAGGCAGCACTTCAACGCCTACATCGTTGGATTCCGCAATGGAACACTCCATGATAGAATCCACGACGAAATTGAACAAAAACGGGGAAATCGGACAACCCTGACGAACACCACTTGTAGTCGAAAAGCTATCCGATAGGACACCATAGACCCTGACGCGGCCTGTAGTGTTCGAGTATAGAGCACGAAGGATGTTCACATATTTCTCGGGAACATCTTTTCGCGCAAGTATTTCGAACAGAATCGATCGATCGACTGAATCGAACGCGCTCTTGAAATCGAGGAACACAGCTATTGTCGGTCTGCGGTATGCGTGGCGCTGCTCTAGCACCTGCCGCAAAGTGAATATATAATCTATACAGCCACGTCCTGGGCGAAAACCGGCCTGCTCTTCCCTAATCCGAGATTCCCGTTCTGCAATGAGGCGACGAACGATAATCGAGGCCAGTAATTTTGTCACAACTGGTGTTAGGCTAATACCCCTGTGGTTCGCACAGTCTGTGCGACTGCCCTTTTTGTATATTGCCACTATAATCGATTCGCTCCAATTAGCCGGCACACTCTCTTCGTTCCAGATACGTTCGAATAGGGAGGTCAGTGCTTTGCCGAGGACCTCACCTCCATCCTTAAATAGTGCAGGTGGGAGGAAATCCGGGCCAGCGGCACGAAAACGATTGAGGGCTGTGATCGCGTTTCGGACCTTGGCCTCCGACGGAGGCTCTAAACTAACCGTCCATCGCACGTCCTGCATCACCTGAGTAGGAAGAGGTCCGGGAGCAGGGGGCCAGCTGAACTGATGTTCAAAGTGCTCAGCCCAACGAGCCATACGGCGTTCCTTATTGTGTATCAGCGCACCCGCGCTGTCCATGATTGTCTCACTGACGCCTGGTTTTCTGGGACCAGTGGTGCGTATTAGCTGGAAGAGCTTGCGGTAATTGCCTACTTCTCCTGCCTCCTCCATTTCTTGAGCCCGACTGGTCCACCAGGCTTCCTTGTCAGCACGTAGGCTCCGTTTTAGTTCACGCCTAATAACCCGTCTGGTCACATTGTGTTCAAAACCAGCCGGGAGGCGTCTTCTAGCTTCCAAAAGGTTCACGGACCTCTCGGATATCCAGTGACTGGTGCGATGACGACTGATAGTGCCACAAGCTAATGCTCCTGCGTCGTGCATAGTGGCCGAGGTCCTATTCCACTGAAGTTCAGTGTCATTAGGACAAGACAGCGAGAGTTCGCTATGCACTGCTTTTTATAGGCTTGCCTGACAGGGGGTTGGGACAATTTATCCGTTGCCAATCGGGGGAGACGCTTTGTGCGCCTTCCGCTAAAGTTCATGGATCAGAGTCGACACAGGTACTCCAGTACGAGCGGCAATCCAGAATGGAACCGCGCCACCTGTAACTTATGGCTATGTGGTCAATTTGGGTCCATCGCTGGCCAGCTACAGGTGGACGCCAAGTGGCACTTCGGCGCCCACTGTGTCTAAAAGCAGTGCTAGTAAAAAACAACTGGTGCTCTGCACACAGTTGCAGCAGACGCTCGCCGTTGTCAGTCCGTTCGGCATTAAGTCCATACTTACCACCCAGCTGAGCTTCTGAAGAGCTCAGACGCCCTACTTGTGCGTTCATATCCCCTGCAAGTACTATAATATCTGAACTAGTAGCACTGCGTAGCAGCGTGTTCAGTTCGTGATAGAATGTGTCCTTGACTGCATTAGAACTGCAGTCCGTGGGAGCATAAGCAGAAATCATAAACAAACAGCGTTTTGTTTTACTTCGCGAACTCACCTTAGCTGATGTCATCAAACGGGCTGCACATAAACGGCTGTTCACCGGAATCCAATCAACCACTGATGACTCAGCCTTGGAGCTGAGAATGATACCTACACCAGCTTGACCCTTGAGTGCCGCATCGGCGTCTCCGGTTGCGTGCAACCAATAACGAGAGGATAAGCCGGGTGCAGTCAATTCAATAACCCCGTTAGGGTCATTAATCCTAGTTTCGGACACACAACACATCAACACCCAGTGTGTCCAACGTGCGTGCGAGTGCAGTCTGCTGACCTGTTTGTCTTAGAGTGCGGACGTTGAATGTCGCCATGGAAACGGGACAGCGTGGCCTTATAAGGGACTTTTGCCGATAGGCGTCCGATAGGTGCTGTGGGATGGTGGCTGCAGACGGTACTACTCCAGTAGCACTTCGGTTGCTGTCAATTAGGCTGGGAATTATAGAAGGAAGGTTAGTAATAGGGGCCGGGATGGGAGTAAGAGAAAAAGGTGGAAAAGAAAGAAGGGAGGCGCCAGCAGTAGCATGCTTTCGCTTATCCGCCCTGCTGTATGCAGCAGATAAGGCGACCCTTGATAATCTGCGCGACGGCCGATGCAGGATGAAGTTTATGTTTGAAGAAAATGTCATGGTTGTATGTGGGCTGGGATACTGCCGGGGCGCCCAGACCTAGACAGGAGAACGATTAGGGTCCTCATCCAAAGCCTTTGGCTCAAAAGCCTGTCCGCAAGGCAGCGTGGAGGTGGCAGTGATTTAGTTTTACAGAAATGGACGCCATCCCATTTCAAACCCCCAACCTGGAGGACCAGGAGACTGAGTTTGTCTGACCTCTCACCATTGACCAACCTGGTAGGAGTAGCTCTCAAGATGCTCGGAGGCATCACCCAGTATAGCTCAATGGATCAATGAGGTACGCAAACCGTCGCACCACGTTAAGGTCCAGTCTCGTTGCGACGGAAAATCTACATACGGCTATGATTGACTACCAAAATGCGATTCTGCGCCGGGTCATTTTTTTTGTGCAGTTTGGAAGTTTCACACTCACTGCCCTCTTAATCACCCCATGCTTTCTGAATAGGCAAAAGACATCTTCGGTGCAAATTTCACTACACCATCATGATATTTGCTTCGGTTAGATTGATAGGCGATTTAGTTTATGTCTTTAGTGCATTAATTATGCCCAATATGATATCAGAAGGGAACTCTTCGTCAATTCACTTCAGGTAAATACAATACTAGGATGAATCTGACAGATAAGCGAACACTGCGGATGCGATTGGTTTGCAACGCGCATTCCTAGTTGAGTGAACTGCCTGCACTCACCCTCCAAAAAATAGAATCGTCTTTAGGTGACAGCGACCTTGTAGTCAACCTTTGTCATTGTCGAAGGTCACAACCGGTTTTCTCACCTCTTCGACAGACCACCGACTATAGTGGCTTTTCTTAACCTGAAAGCTGACTGCGACTTTGGTCAGTGCCATCTTGACTCGAGACCCGGAAGCTGTCTCCTGAATTCTCCACCATCATAAGTGACTCGGTTTTTTCACACTTTCAGTGTGAAAGTTCTACCCTGTGACGGCTTGGCAAATCTTGGGTATGCAGATGACAGCCGTACATTGGTTTGATACGGTGGTTATGTAGGCACTACTGAATATACTGACGCTTAGCGCTGCACCTTGCAAGCCTGATTAGATACGCCAACGGTTTTAGACTCCGGTGAGCAGACACTGGAAGTATTTGGCTAGTTTATTTACTTGGTAGTTATGTCCCCTCTGGTGGTCACATCACCGAAGAAATTACTTCGCGCATCAGCAAGGGCTGTGTAGCATTTCAGAGTCTCAACTATCTATGGAGACAGCGGGATACCAGCCTGTCTGTGAAAGGTAGGGTGTATAGCTCTGCAATAATGCCACGGTTACTGTATGGATCGGAGACCTGGCCATTTTTTACAGTGAACACGTCAAAGGAATGGTCGTGTTTTATCACCGGTGCTTACGTCCGGTGGGAACACTGGATGTGAAGTGCTGTGGTCCGCCAGTTGGTTCATGGTAAGAGGCATTCTGATGCTTACTTGACTGTTTGCTAAAGTTCAACTGCTTACGATGGTTCGATCATGTCCTCTGTATGCCTGTTGAGCGGCTTACTCGGCGTGCGTTATACGTTCTCGGTTTAATAAGTCGGGCGAAAGCCCGAGATGACCACTCCACGACGTGGCATAAAGGCATGCAGAAATTGTCTGACAGATTTGACCAGTCTTGTGCCGTCTTAATGGATAGGGACACTGCGATGGTCCACACGGGTAGTTGTAGACTCCGTCAGACCCGCCCTAATCGCGCAGTTCTTGATCTTCCTGCACTCAGCTTCTTGCAACTAGCTGTTGACTTTTATTTCGTTCTCATCAGTTTTAGGTACTTCCTTGATTTCCTTCCCTTAATATACTATTCGCGTTCAACCCCATTTTCTTACCATTGTTAGTTACTGTTATTCTGTCCATATGAGTCGTAGCAACTGGATCCACTGCATTTCGATGCCCGGATTATGGTTGTTTAACTAAACTGAACCTCGACTGCGGTTTCAGCTCAATTTTTGGCTTCTGCCTTCTTAACCACTGAGTTAATAGACCTCATGATCACTCGTGACAGCAGCTGGGATTTAGTCTCTGAATGCGATTTTCGATTAATATCTCACATGACTTTTCTAAAATTGCCGACAGTTAATTTAGAGTAAGTTGTGAACTCTTGACTTCCAAATGATTCTCTCATCTGGCATTATTTGAAACCATCTTCGACACATACATGGTCATTTTTTATTTCAGATTCAGCCTGGCCATGCAACTCCTCTATCCGTCGGAAAAAGACGTGTCATCAATTCGCCGGTTGGTCGGAAAGGATGGGCTGTGAGTTGGTCTGTAATCATTTGGCGCATAATCTTTTATCGTGAGCAGTATGCAATAGGCAGTACAAGAACGCAGTCCGGCGTTCAGACTGCGTGTACGCCTCATCTGTGACTAAAAACTAGGGCTGTACACCCTAGCTTATCGTCGGCTGAGGGTTGACCTCATCATGACGCACCGGATATTACATCTGAGTGATTACCCCATGTTGAGACAACTGCTTCATCTGCGCACACCAAGCTGCACGCGAGGACACCGGTATAAACTTATCGTACCGGAGCTGAAGCGGGTCGCTCATCAACTATGTTTCGAACGCAGAGTGGTGAATGTCTGGAACGACCTGCCGCAGCACATAGTAAAGGCGAACACAGTGTCCAAATTTAAGAAGCTCCTTGGCAAACACTTTGCAGAGGCAAAATTTAGAGAGCGTAACGATAAATAAGGAGTAGATGTCCAAGAGCGACGAATGATGCAGCTACACAGAAAAAGCTCTACTCGCTGCATCGAACCAGTATTCAGTATTCAGTCCCTCGGTCATTTCCAACTAAGGGACGTACCACTTCGAATTGCATATTCATTGAATTGTGTTTTATGCGGACACATTCCTTTCACTTCGTCAACTCAGTACTTTACCAGGCATTGAAGTGCAGTGGACATAGCTACTTTACCTCACGTCTCCTTGATAATAATCATTGTCGAGTAGCCCTCCGATACTCAAGAAGACTGGACAGCGATCACGGAGTCCTTTATTAAGATTACGCTTAGATATTTATAGAATATATACACTATTTGCGACAGTCCGCTTCATTGGCTTATCCTTGTTATTTGCATTCTGTCGCTGGTTCCATTTCCATTGGTTACGCTCGCTCGCAACATTCCTTATGTATTACCTCGAGCTGCGGTGCCGACTTTCTGGGTGGATTGTACGATTGGCTCGGTCGATCACTCGTCCATCAGGCCGCACGTTTCTTCCCTCGGTCCAATACCACGACCTACCTTGGCTCAAGTGCGCACTAATACGCTCCTCATGAGTACGCGTTTCTTAGCCTGTGCTTTTGGAACTTGCTGGCGCCTGATTAGTCACCTGCACACTCGCTGCGTGTTTGCTGGCTGTGCTTGCAATGCTCGACGTGGGCGTGCGCCGACCATTCGCTGCTAGGCTGATCAATCTGCATTCAGTGACACGCTCGTTTTCCATCGGGCTGAATGGCACCTGTCTGGTACTTCGCGAAATGCCGGCTGGCTATCGATTGGCTATCTGCCTACTGGTATCGTAGTGCTTTCACTCACCAGTAGTTTCAGTCCACATCACAACCTTTCCTTTTTCGCTTTTTAGAGTGGCGTTGCAATGTGTTCCATATTGCATTCCATTGCGTGTACGGTAGATATGTGGTAGTGCGGCGCAAACGACCCTTGGTCCCTCCGTAGGCGTAGGCATCCTGTATCTGTCCTATGGAGACCACCATGACGGTCAACTCCGGAATCGGATGTCTCCAATGTGTGTGTATGCATGTACCCGTTACTTGGTTTGGTAAATGTGCCGCTTCATTTTATACTGTTTAGGATCGCGTCTTCATTGTGAGAAGGGATCAAATAAAGTTTAAAGGTGGATGACTGACGTGTGTGCAGTAGATATGATCATTTTTATTAGTAAGAAGCAGTGACTTTACTTAGTGGCGATTCATATTAGCCACGCCTGTGTGTTTGTTAAACAGATATTTGTGGCTTTATATATATATATATATATATATATATATATATATATATATATATATATATATATATATAGTGTTTACCAGGCGAGAAACCACCATGTCAAACTATTTGCTGAAACTGGGTAAACTTGAACCGCGCATTAGGATTATGATTTGCGATCACATTTGACGTTGTGTTTGGTTACCTTACTGTTACATGTTTTGTAATTGATAAACATGCACGAACTACGTCCCCTGATTTTCCTGTTCGAAATTATCAGAGGGCCATCTTGTCTCAAACAGATGGGTTTGTTTTTCTTTGCTTAGTCGCTTTCATTTTACGGGTACGCGGCACCTAATTGCTCTGACTATATCTCCAAATAACACATTTCATCATCTTCGGCTTGGATAGTAGGACTCCTCCGGTTTCTGCTGCCGGTCGTCGCTTTGCGGTGTCCATTCATGCGCTCTTCTCAGTTGCACCCGATTCTGTCGAATAATCTTACCCCTAACCTTGACTTTAAACCTTTCTCCCTTCTGGCCTTCGGTTTCGCACTTCTGCCATCATCTTTCAGATTCCGGTACTGGCTGCTTTCATAGCTCTCCTCCTGTAGCCAATGGGGGAGGCTTTTCGCTCCGTAATCATACTACTTCTTTTGCCTTAGCATTATGTTCCGCAATCGATCTTGGGGAATATCCACTTTCGCTATCTCGGGCAGTAGCAGTTGTAGCAATCAGAAGTAGCGTTCTTGTTCGGCGACTGAACGGACGTTGTACGGGACTCGCTTCGATATCAGTAGATGGTGTGTCCCTTTGATCCAGTATCATTATGTGGGGATCTTCCTGGGTTTCTTGGCTTTTGTAAACACTTTCTTTGCCTCTTTCACTGCGGACTCAGCCTTTGCGTTTGGTTGGCTGTGGCATGGGTTCGTAAGCTGGTGACGAAAATCCCACTTCTTACTGAAAGCACGAAACACTGTACCATTAAATTGCGGCCCGTTGTCGGAAGTTACCACCTCGCACATTCCATGCCGAGCAAATTGGCAGCGCCACTTGTTCACTACGGCCTGCGTACTAGTCGTCGTAAAAGCATCGATCTCGAAGTAGTCACAATCAAGTTGTTCCTTTCGCGTGAACATAATTGTCCAGTGCAGCCATCTACCAGCTTCTGTCAGGAACGTCACGAGGCATCATCGGTTCGTTTAACTGGCCCACGTCGTGTGTCCTGGCTGGCCATTCCAGGCCAGCACAACAGCTCTCTAGCTCTTGCGACGCTGTTGTTGGTTCCTAAATGTGCACAGTGTATCAGCTCCAGCATCGGACGTTGCAATGTCTTTAGAACTACTATCCTGTTACCTTTGAATATTAATCCATCCTGGCTACTGAGTTCGTCGCAAAAATGGAAGAATGGAGTCAGCTCCTTAAGTAGTTTTTTCTTGTCTACGGGCCATCCATTCAATATAGTGTGCTACGGTAGGCTGCACAGTTCGTCCTTCTCCGTACACCGTTGGAGTTGCTGCAAACTTTCCTCAGTGACAGCGATCAACTGTGTTGCATAGACAAAGTTGGGGTCTTCCTCATTTTCGGGTGTCTGACAGGTGCGCTCTTGACAACGTGTCCACAATGTGCATTTGGGATCCTGGCCGGTATACAATCTCTAGGTCACTTCTCCAGACGAATAAGCATCTTTTGCAGACGGCGTGTAACAACATGAAGCAGCTTACCGGTGATCGATACCAGGGGCTTGTGGTCGGTAAGGGCGGTGGACTTGCGGCCAAATGTATATTCATTGAAACGCGTAAACAATGAAGTATTTCTTTTTCTATTTGCGGAACGACGCTTCGCCTCGGTTAGCGTCCGGTTGTGCAAGTCGATAGGCTTAATGTACTGCATGAGTACGCCTTCGATACCATACCGCTTGCTGTCACACTGGATCTCGAATGGAAGTGCTGGCTTATAGTAAGTGAAAACGGGGGCGCTCTTGCTTAACTCCTTTATTTTCTGAAATGCTCTCTTCTGCTCCTCGTCTCAGTGCCATTTCTCTCCCTTATGAGTTTCCGTGTCGATACCATTACATCAGCAATAAGCGACTTAGGCACTTCACCATCCCATTCAGCCTGCTAACGGCTTTTACATCAGTGGAAAGAGGCATCTCTTTGAGGGCCCTTACTTTCTCTGGATCTGGTCTCAGTCCTTCGGAGCTTGGCACGTGTCCATGAAACACCACTTCCGTACTACGTAATTCGATCTTTTGTTTTAGCTTGATGTTCCTTTGAAAACAGCACTGCAAAAACCGGTCGTGCTCCTTTCGCTTAGCGCCAAAAACCAAAACGTCGTCTGCTATACAGAACGTTCCTGGTTCTCTGATCGCTAACTGACAGTACCACGTTCTCGCTTGCGTACGCACACTCAATCTCGCAACTGATTGGAGGAACGTTTGTCTATTGATCGCTAACATATTACGCCCGTAAAGAAACGCATCATCGGTAGAATAGACTTTCCACGATTGTCCTGCGTTTGTTCTGATTCCAGTTCGTGTGGGTTCATGGTACCGCGGCAGACGCTGGTTTACAGATAGGTTTAGTGCGCTTCCTGGGACATAACATTGGAGTCGCGGCTACAAACCGCTGCAATGGCATTTCATCTACCACCTTCGGACGCTTTCTGGTGTGATTCCAGTGTTGAGCCTACTGAAAGTGATTTGGCTCAGTGGAAAATTACATGTACTTACTACCATGTGCTGCTACTTACCATGAAAATCAAAAGTTGAAACTTCACCTGTATACTGAATACTGAGAGTAGAGAGTGAGAAGATAAACATCTGTGTTGCTCCATCGTAAGTGGATCGGGCACATGCGCGGAATAACCTCGCTGATTCCTTTGCGGTGGCAGCATATTGCAGCTGTACTACATCTTATCTGGGGGTGATGCGCTCCCTGTGACTTTAGTGCGTAAAGTGGACATCTAGGAATCTGTTAACTTCCGAAACAGATTTCGCCTCGACTAGCGTCTCCGGTAAGTTGTTCCAATATTGCGCCACTCGAAGCATAGAGGGTGAGTGTTGCGCTTTAAGTCCGCTACCACTAGTTTGTGCCTCGTAAGCGAGGCACTGCGAACTAGGCCCCTGAAGCCGCACTGATGATGTTGCCGAGTCAGGCAACGAAACGTCTGCACAATAATCACTCAGCTCGGAGAACCGCTCAAAATCCGCATTCACACCCCGAGCTACTGATATTCTCATTTATTTCAAAATAATGCCCTAGTCTCCTACATCGGTCCCCGTACAACATGCCCCCTAAACTTGGGATG